TTTATATTTCTAAATATTACCCCTTATTTATTTATTCATAATTTATCATCATATTTTTAGTACTTTAGCTTCATTTATCACATACTTTTACGCGTTTAATGCGGATTAGAATACCCACTACCCCATATCTTCCCGTGGGTGTCGTAAGAGGCGATAGAGGGAAACTGAGGCAGAAAATGGGCAGCAGCATCTTTCTGATAACTTCAAAAGCAATAAAAGCTACGGCTGCCAAACCACTCGCCAAGCGTGGCAACTATGACAATATGGGGTATATTCGATTAAACCATGAGCAACGATTTAAATGAACGGCCCCCAGTTCCCAGCGGCTGCCCTATTCCTGGCTACGGTGGCGACCTTGGTAACGGCGGGGCAGGGGGTGCTAAGAATCTCCGATGGAGGTGCGGCTGCTACCTAAGAACGCTTGATATGGTAACATATAACGCACGCACCTTGAGGACTGACGAGAAGATCCTGGAGCTGGAAGAAGACACAGACAAGTAGAACTGGGCCATTATAGGATTATCTGAGATCCAAAGAGAGGGGGAGGACACGGTAATCCTCGAATCCGGCAACTTGTTCTATCACCGGGAGGGCCTCCTCTCCTCTGTCCCAAGAAGGTGTCAGATTTATTGTCCACAAGTCTCTCGTTAACAACGTTGTAAAGATTGGGAGTTTGTCGACGAGGGTTGCGTACCTTATGCTCAGAATCACCAAACGGTATTCGCTGAAGGTCGTAGAGATTTACGCGCCAACCTCGGCACATCCCGATGGGGAGGTGGAGGAAGTGCATGAGGATATCTCAAAAGCTATGCATCCCTTCAAAACCCACTATACGGTGGTAATGGGAGACTTCAACGCAAAACTAGGTACAAGAGAGAACGGTTAGTTGAAAGTAGGGAAATTCAGAATAGGGCAACGAAATCCAAGGGACCAGCAGCCGGACGAATTTATGGCGAAATACGGCCCCATAGAAAATGGGCCTGTTCGAGCCTCGATGGTTCAACAAAAAATGAGGTTGACTTCATTTTGATGACAACTATTCAGTGATTTCTCAGTGATCGGAAGGGTGAAAACTAGCAGTGTGCCTCTCACCATCCGGTGAGCCTCTCAGGCACACTGAACCTAAACGTTAAGTTGGAGAGGTTGTTGACGAGTATGACGAGGTCAAGCAACGGATTCAACGGCTGGGCAGCGTTTGGAGATTACGTCACATCTTCCCATCAGGCATACCTCAAAACCTCAAAATTAGTTTGTACAACCAGTGCGTGTTGCCAGTGATGACCTATGGATCTGAGTGCTCCTTCACTGCTGGCCGTATGAGGAAGCTCCAGGTCGCTCAGAAAGCTATGTATATAAAGCTATATGGACAAGTCCCCCGTGACCATGGGTGCTGGAAAGCGCCCGAAGCGTCGGGAATTAAAAATAATAGTAAAATAAACGCGATAAAATCCGTAAAAGTAGTTTTAATCAATTGCTCCATACAAGTCAATTTGGTTGGGTCGCTCGAGAATCGATGCCGTTGTTGAGCTTATAAAACATATTTTTGTGTATGGGAGAATTTATAGGATTCTTTGGGTATATTTTGTGACCTTTCCAAGGTCTTTAAAGCGTTACAACTGCGTTATAAGTGCCGAGCGGCGGCTGCGGACGTCCTTTTATCTTCTTGGCCGTCTCCACTTCGAGGACTAGGACTAGGAGGGTAGGACGAGTGGCGCATCGCCATTCCAGCACTCCTCTTCCTCCGCGACTCTACGTCGGCTGCAACGGTAGGGGAAGAGGACAACCATCTCGCCACAGCCCTCCAAAACACATACAAATTAGGCTAATCACGCCAACTCGGAGTTGCCATCTTGGGCCAGCCATGTGGGTTCCTCTTTGTTCACTTCCGGAGTTCCAAAGTCGGAAGTCTGAAGTGATATTATGGGGGTGCTTAGTAAAGCACCCCCATAATATCACTTCAGAGTTTAATATACGGTAATAAATTTCTTTTATAAATCATTACTCAAAGGTCGAAATTACTCCCTCTCGACCGAGTAACGAGTGATGATTCGATTTTATACCTATAATTATAACAAAATCATTTTACTGTATTATAATAAAATTATTTTTCTGTTAAAGGAAAATAATATACATTCATAGGGCTCCGTAGTTAAGACGTTTCCCCTAGCGAACAACTATACAATCCACGCACTCTCGCTACGATATATCGCGTAAAAATACGCCCGAAAGTTTGGAATTATTTCAATTAAAAAAGAAAATCGAGCTTAAGAAATTAAATAAAACGAGGATAAAATAGATTTTTAAATTGTCTATCCATTGGTGTAATCCTCAAATGATTAGAGTGTTGCTTTAGCAACAGATGCATTTAATCAGTAATTTCAGTTATTTTTAAAAGTATGTTTTTAAATGTATTTATAACACATAAAAACAAATTATAACATGGAATGTGATTATAGGATATCGAACATGAATAAAGTGCTTTTAGTTGTAGCTTATTTCTCATAACTAATGACATAATAATCTCTGAAAAACGCACTTTTGCAAGATTTTGGTCGGGGTACCGCCTTAACAAGGGACCCTTATAGTTTCGCCATGTCCGTTCGTCCATCCATCCACGCGGTTTTACTAGCGATGATGATGACGATAAGCACTGCAATCTGCACCAATAAAAAAAATATCTGTCATTGTAAGTACTGATTATGCCTCAAACTGTAATCTGTATTACTATGGGGCAAAAGTTTATTCAATTCAATTTTTAATTCTAAAATTAGGTCTTTACCTACGAAACTGCCGTTTTTCATGAGATAACGTATTTATTATATATTTTTTATTTCTATTAAAGTAATGAGACACGCAATAGAGACCCTAGGTACATGAGTAAAGATCCCTATCCTTTCTCTGCACTCTAGGTGCTACAAACCTGTAATTTGCCATAGTTATAGATATCAATCGCACCTACAAAGGCATGAAAAAGATCTTGAATTTTTTCACCTGTCGTTTTCATCTTATAGAGTGTTTATTAGTGTTACAAAAATATAAGGGTTTTTCAAAATACGAGTAAATAAGACTTCTGCTTTCATTTAAAATTATCCCAAATTGAATGTGATTTATCGGCAAACCCTTTTACCGATCCGACCGATCGACCCTTAGGAATGTGTACGTGCAAAGTAAATTCAGTCAAAATAATGCATTACCAAGCATTTTGAATTTAAAAGATAAAAAGGACAAAATGTTTGAGATTTTTTTTAATTAATTTTTCTATTTTACATATTCTGAGCCTTCTCTGCAAACTTGGCCGGTTATTACAAAATAATCATGTATACGTTACACGAGTTTTTGTATTGTAGTGACTAGAAGAGTAGATTGAAGCAGTCAGTTTAAATATATAGGTTATATTTAAAAATAATATGTAAATTATTATCGGAAAACCGTCTTTCGTGCATCATATTTAAACTACATATTTCTGTCGATAAAAGTTGTGCCTTTTCTCTAGGTATTGCAAAACTGAATCTTTCATTATACTGGAATTACTGGTATCGAGATTTAATTAGTACTGTGAAACTGATTTTTATTTGCTGTTTCCGAGATTTCCCTGAATACGGCACTAAAGGAATTGTTGTTTGCGTTTCAAGTGCTGATTTACAACATCGACGGTGAAGAAAAACATCTTGAGAAATCCTGTATACTTGAGAAATTAGAAATACTTCGAAGAATTAATAGGTTTAAAAGAACTCATTACACCAAATTATCCCGTTGGTGTCGCAAGAGACAATAGAGTGAAATGGAGAGAGGAGTGGTGCTTTTTGCAATGGTGATCTTTTAATGGGCTTTAATGAATGATTATTATTTTGAAGACATGCAAAGACCTTAAATACGCTCTGGGGATGCATGGAAAACACTTCCTTGCCCTAAAATCCTCATAAAATGAGGAACAGCCTGTAGCCAGCAGTGCAACGTATACAATACAGACTGTAACTTAATGAATATCAAAGCAATAAAAATTAAAATTATAGTAAATTGATTGTGAGAAGATAAGTTTTTGATAGAGAAATTAATAATATCTTAATCAGACTTTTAATATATTGACCTAATAAATTAAATTTTATCCGAGATTAAATTAAAGTTAAAGATAACGCATTTTGATATAAATATCACAGATGAGAAGTTCTTCGGAATAGTTTTTGAGAGGATTACAGACTCAGAGTAAGTATTAAAGTTTGATAAATTAATCCGTTATAATATTGTACGACAAAAACTCTTAAATGCTACCGTTTTTAATAATTTCAATTTTAACATATATTTTCATATTTGTCGCCTAAATATCAGGGTATGTTTTAAATATCAAACTGTTTGATAACAATATATTATCAACTGAACAGGAAGTGTTCAGGAAGGTTCGTCTCATGAGTGTCCTAAGAGGCGACCGTTGGGAAACTCAGGAGGATCGAATGGTTTCCGATAGAAGGGATACCTCCCAGTTATCGAATCCATCTCGTTTAATCCAAGCCTAAATTTTCACACTGGAGGCGGTCAGCAAATTGTGTATTCTACTGTAACTGCGAAACTCCCCGCCCAGCGTTGGTATTAAGGGGGTTATTAACTACACGGAGACATTGGGTCAACACGTACCGTTTAGTGGTGGTGTGACAATATCCCTACCTCATATCATCCGGTGGTGATCGAGGGAAATGAAATAGAAACTGATGAATAGGCAGCAAGGTACTTGTCATAGGCTGTAGCACAGAGACAAAGTCGCTATTTTCCCGACCCATGCTGTGCTTATCCCATATGACATATCGATCGAAGGATAGAACACATGTGTTAGTTATATCTACAGAACGGATCGACACCTCCTGTGTTTCATTCCATCTTAGTCCTCAGCGGTGACAATGCATCTTCATTTAAATACTTAATCTATATTATTAATATTTGCTTTAAGCAGGTGCGCTTGTTAGTTTTGTCACACTAATTTTTACGAAATAAATTCTTATTTTCAGAACATGAAATTCTTCATCGCTTTCGCTTTTCTTGCCGTGGCTTCGGCCAGCGTCATTCCTGCCGCAGTTATCGCCAGCGACAATCCTGAGATTCAGGAGATCGTGGCTGCTATCCAGAGCCCCAGCACTGACCCCGCTACCGCTGCTGCTCTTGAAGAATTGCTCCTGGAAATCCTCGGCATTGCTAAGCCCGAACCTATTGATGTCGGACCCGCCATCGTAGACAACTACGAGCCTATTGCCATTGGGCCCGCTGTAGTCGATTTTCCCTTGCCCGACGGTGGTGCCGTGGCTGATGTCGACCCCACCCCTGTCATGCCCGCTCCTGTTGAATCCTCGGCCAGCGCTCCCCTTGTGCAGATAATCTTGAACATCCAATCTGCGTCTGACGTTGTTGGCTCTCCCGTCTCCGTTGAGACCGTTCAGTCTCCTGCTCCTACCCCTGTTCAGGTTGTGGATGAAGCTGTGAATGCCGAGCCTATCGTCCCCGTGCCCGTCATCGTCGTGGACAAGCCTATCGTTCCCGAGCCCGTCATCGTCGTGGATACGCCTATCGTCCCCGAGCCCGTCATCGTAGTCGAAGAAGCTGATAAGCCCGAGACTGTCGTCGTCGCCCAGCCAATCATCCCTGCACCAGCAATCGTTCTTCCTGAAATTCTCAACTAATAAATAAAACGTACGAAATATGACAACGATACCTTAAATAATCGATAATAAAAAATACATAAGTATCTTAGCACGTCATTTGTTTTCAACACTTTGTTGTTTACTATTTTCCTTCTTCAGCAATATATATAAAACAGATTTCTTTTCTTAATCGTATGTTTAAATAAAATTATCACTCCAAATCAGGAGTACTCTCCCTAAGGACAGTTTATTACCTAATATTACTCCGAACTGATTTATTGATCATATTATTATTGTTATACTTTAATGCCAAAAACCAATATTTCAATTAATTTCTCTCTTCTTCTTTTAAATACTTTTGTTAAGCCGACTTCGAAAAAATTTGAGGATTTATCAATATTTTTTTATAGGAAAAGGACATACATGTATTCTCGATTAAGAATCTAAATTAAGATGCGTTGCCGCCTGAGGAATAAGATGGATGACTCGTTTTCTGTAAAAAGGGTATTCGGTTCTCTACACTCAACATAGCAAAAACAGTAACATTGAATTGCTATTTTACGCTGGTATTCTGTGAGAGCGTGATCCATTTCCGGTGGAGCAGACCCATTCGTTGTTTATAAACAGATTTTAATCATTCTTTTTTATTTAATAGTTTATTCATGAGGTTATTCATACCTCATATAAATTTGGAGAAAATTTCCAGGATGATTAAACAGGATATTTAATGTTACTATTTAGACGATATTAAGATTCCTTACTCTACTCAAAAGCGTAATGAACAAATAACTTTTAACTAAGAATTAAAAGCCTGCTTCAAGAACTAAAATGTATTAAAAATAATCACATTTAACCTCTCAAACACCAAGCGGCCAAATTTGACCGCTTCGATATTCCGTTAAAATTCAAGCGGTCAAATATGACCGCACCCACCCACAGCACTTAAATCCGTAAAAGAACTTAAATATAGATACTACTTTTCTGTGAAGAAATTTAGCATTATAGAATCAATATGAAATTTTCTATCTTCTAGTGCAATAAAAAGCTAGTTATCCTTAAGATATTTTTGTTTATAATCTACGTTCATTTTGTACGCCATTTTCGCGTGAATGTTATTGTGTTGATTTTAGGATTATTCTAGTGTTCTATTCGTGTTTTATTATAGTGTATTATTATAAAATTGTTATAAAAGTTTTTGTGTGAATATAATTTATTTTTTCACGTAAATAATTTCGATTCGAATATAAAAATAATTTTGATTTTCACGCTGCCGACATCCGCTCGGTATTAAATTTTTTGTTATCAAAATACAATGAAATCTTTTTGTAATGTAGGAAAACCTGATTTTTGTTTTAGATTAAACGATAGAAAACTTTGTACAAATTTTATAATGCTAAACTTCTTTATAGAAAACTAGTCTCTAAATATAAGTTTTAATGGTTTTAAGTGATGTGGGTGTGTGCAGTCGCATGCGACCGCTCGGGATTTGCCGAGTGCACGCGACTGCATGGGATTTTTATGAGGATTGAAGGGTTAAGTCGCGACTTTGATTTGACATCGAGTTTAATAACCAAATTCTTTGAAAATGCTTTTAACATTATATTAAAGGCTCATATTTCCTGCAACTTCCGTAATATTTTAAAAACATTTGTTTCTCATTTACGGTCTCCACAGACTTTTGTCTTTTGTAAGTCGCACAGCTCATGAAACTAAAATTGGCGTCTTAATAACAATTTTGTCATTTTTCCTTATAATCGAATAATATGAACAGTGGTGAGCCTGTGCATCCAAGAGTTAACGCGGGTTTTTATTGAACGCTTTGTTTGTCCTATGTAAAAGAGATCACATTCACCATAATTACAGAGGGACATTAAGCTTGACTGATGTTAAAAACTGCCTAATATTCTTCAGCGACTTGAAGTATATTTTAATGTAAGCATGTTTCCAGACGTAGCCAATCTTGTCAGTGACATCTCTGAAATATGGCAGTACAGCAGGTACACGCTCGATTGTGGCCGGATTCACTTGTTCACTGCGACGTAGGCATGAGACCCGAAGCTTGTTGTCATGCAAAACTTGCTATATAAATGCCTGTAAAATTTACAGGCACTTATATTTTAAAATATTACCCCTTATTTACTTATTCATAATTTTTCATCACAATTTTTAGTACTTTAACGTCATTTACCACATTCTTTTACGCGTGTAGTGCGGAACAGAATACCCACTACCCCATATCTTCGCGTAAGTGTCGTAAGAGGCGATAGAGGGAAACTAAGGCAGAAGATGGGCAGCAGCATCTTTCTGATAACCTCAAAAAGCAATAAAAATTGCGGTTGCCAACCCACTCACTAAGCGTGGCAACCATGGCAATATAACCCCATGAGCACCGATACAAATAAACGACCCTCAGTCCCCAGCGGCTGCCTTAATCCTGGCTACGGTGGCGACCGGGGTAACGGTGGAGTAACAGGGGGTACTAAGGATCTCCGATAGAGGTGTGACTGCCACCTAAGAATGCTTGAGTTGGCAACATATAACACACGCACCTTGAGGACTGACGAGAAGATCCTGGAGCTGGAAGAAGACATAGACAAGTAGAACTGGGCCATTATAGGATTATCTGAGATCCAAAGAGAGGGGGAGGACACGGTAATCCTCGAATCCGGCAACTTGTTCTATCACCGGGTTAAGTGTGATGACCCCTCTAATATCTGCTTCACAAGCACTCACAATAATTAGGCCGTGCGTCATAGCACGGGTTGCTTAGTAAGAGATATTTTAATATAAATACTAGGCTAAGTTAACTGTAAGACGGATTTAGTTTTGGAAGTAATTATAAGCTGTAACTCTGTAATTTTGTATAAATAAATTATTTTTTTTAAATAAAGTCGTTGTCGTCAACATAATTGGGGCAGCCGGTAGGATATTCGTAGTTGTCTAGGAAGAGTCTGTATCGTCGGCTATCATCGTGATCCAGCACCAGTATCCTGACAACGTGCGTTTCAACGCTTGGACGAATATCACCGAACAAATAAATAAATTAAGGACTTCGTGACTTCAGCAGAAACAGCCGAGACTCCAGAACTATCCCAGAGGGACATGGGCAGATCTGCGAGACTGTGAGTAAAACTTTTCACTTCCCGTAACCTTCCTTTTTGTTTCCTCTTGTATTAGTTATTCGTAGGTATTGTCTTGGATTAGAAAACGCCATAACAATACTCTTCTACTAAACAATCAAAATTTTGTTAGTAGATCTTAGCCAAATCAATTTTATTCTTTGTATTTAAAAACTTTGATATTTATTTTATTTTAAAATGGAAAACATTGAAAGAATTCCCGTAGAAATGACGAAAATTATCCCAATTTTTGATGGAGATGCTAGGTTATTACCTTTATTCATAAAAAAATGCGAATATATTTTACAAACATTCCAAGGGGGTAGCTTACAAAATGAATATTTATTTCACGTCATTACCAGTCGCTTGTCAGGGGAAGCTGCTAGTTTAGTGGGAGAAAGGGAGCAGATAGACTCTTGGGCAGACCTCAAGTCGCTGTTAAACCAACACTTTGGCGACCCAAGGTCTTAAGAATGCTTAACTATGGAGCTAGAGAGTCTTAGAAAACATAGGAACGAAAGTTATCAAGAATTTTGTCACCGGGTGCAACATTTAAAAAGCATTTTATTTTCAAAAATTAACGAAACCATTAATAATCGAGACTTACGGCAAGCTAAACAAACGATATACGATAACACAGCATTAAACGTTTTTTTATACAATTTACCTGCTTACTTAGTGAGACTAGTACGACTACGTAATGTTACCACCTTAGAAGACGCATTAAAAATTGTATTAGAGGAACAGAACTTCCAAACAGTTTACGAAAATAGGAACCCAAGGTCTAATCAAAATTTTAGACCAAGCCATTTCCAAAATCATCCCAATTTTAATCATAATAATAAATATAAAGGCCCAAGTTTTCAATATCAAACGAACGGCCATTCATCGAATAACCAAAATAATTCATTTAATTCAAATAATATTTCTCCCCACTTCGTAAGTAATCATACAACGAACAACAGAAATAACTTTAATGCGAACTTTGAAACTGGGTCACCAGCACGACCGTCATCGGCGCAACACCGTCAGCATTTTTCGCGAAACAATGGGCAATACCGTGCGTCACAAGTGCCGTTGAACTCTAATACTGACGTCACAATGAGGACAGTTAGTTCAAGACGCGTAAATTATACCGATACAGAAAATAGAATTCAACCTAATACCTCGCAAAACCAAGGTGATTTTAACTCTCATTCGGTCGAAGGAGAAGATGAACACATAGGAATTTTTTTTATAATAGCCTCAACAATACGGAAAACATAGAGATTAACCATACAAAAATTTTAAATTTGCCTCATATACGTATACCAGAGTTGAATGCAGTTTTTATGTTAGACACAGGGAGCACAAGATCCTTTATTAGCCCAGAGATAGCAAACTATTATTATAAAAATTTTAAACGGCGGGAGCCTTTTGAAGTCATCAGCACTCATTCGTCAAGTAGGCATGAGGAAGTTGTATATATTACTTTGCCGAGTATTTTTAAAACTCAAATAAAACATAAATTCTACGTTTATAGCGTAGACGAAAGATATGACGGCTTAATAGGAAGTGAGTTATTAAAAGTTTTAGACGCTTCTATTGACATGAAAAACTTAACGCTTATTACAAAAAATGTTAAAATTCCTATAATTTATTCACCGCCGACAAAACAAACGTTTATTTTACCCCCAAGATGTGAACTTAGAGTTTCATTACCAGTAAACGTTAGTAATGGAGAAGCAATTTTGAATTACGTACAATTTTGCGAAGGTGTTAGAATGCCGACAGCTTTAGTTAACTGCGAAAACAGTTTCGCTACTACAGTAATTCAAAATTGTACGGAAATAGAACAAAAACTGGTAGTTACGTCACCTTTTAAAGTGGAACCAATTGAAAAATCTATGTTACTAAATAAAAACAGGGAAACGAATTTAA